TATGTCATCTGTCGCAAGGGCGTTAAAGGATATAATTACTTTTTTGAAAAATGCATGTAGTAGAGTTGCAAGTACTACTGGTAGGCAGTGGTGTGTTTTGGTTTTGTGAAACTTAGGCAACCCCTCAATCTAAATTTGCCCCCACTCCTTTCTGTCAAGGTCACCCCTCTTCCTGTTTAAGACCAACATGCATTTTGACTGACAGACATACGCCCTCACTGGTGCATGCACTGACATAGACTCACTGACAGATAAACAGTCATTGGCACACACACTGTCACTGAGAGAAATACACACTCACTGACATACACACATACACACTCACTGACAGACACACACACTCACTCACTGACAGACACTGACAGACATACGCATTCACTGACAGACACACACTGACAGACACATTCACTGAAAGACATGCATGCACTCTCACTGACAGATACACATTCACTGACAGACTTGTATACACTCTCACTGACAGACACACACACACACACTAATTGACACACACACACATTCATTGACAGACACACTCACTGACAGACAATATACACACTCACTGACAGACACACACACACACACTAATTGACACACACACACACTCACTGACAGACAGACACATTCCTTGACAGATACAAATACACACTCACTGGCAGAAGCACACACATTTACTGACAGAAATACATTCAATGACAGACACATACACTTTCACTAACACACACCGACATACACATTCACTGACAGACACACACATTGACATAAACACACAAACTGATATTGACACACTCACACAATCACACATTATTATTATTATTATTATTATTATTATTATTTTAATTTCAATCCACCTAGCCTCCCTACCTTTGGGAGTGCTGGGATGGATTCTCTCTTTCCCGGACTTCCATTGGGGATCCTTTCACTGCCAGACGGCCAAACAGTCACTGGATGCAGTAAGGGAGCTGTCTGCTCTGCTTCTTTGCGTGCCACTTAGTGATCCCGAGGCCAGAGGAATGTCATAGTATGGCTCCCTGCATCACTAAGCGGCATGCAGAGCAGAAAGAGCTCAGAGATCAGCGCTCCCTCGCTGCCTGTCTTTTACTGGGCATTTGCCGGGGCGCTTGGGGGCGGCATTTTTTGACGCTCCCCTTAAAGTGCCTCCCTAGGCAAATATCATGTTAGCCTCGTGGAAAATACAGCCCTGCTGGTAGGTACTCTAAAAAATCTGCACCTCAATCTCGGAGGCCCAGCACTGCTGGCAGCCGCAACTTACCTAGGTCACAGTGCGACCAGGGTTGACCTCGTAAGCATAGCTCACCCCCTCGGAAGAAGAATTTTCAACGCGGAATGAAGCACCTGGGTGGAGGATTCCAAAAACGTGACTGGCTTGCAGGTGGCGAGTGGACCGGTGGGCAAAGTGCGCTGGACTGTAAAAGAGCCAGGGGCAGATGGGCCACAGCTACCTGGGACTTGACCAATAAAACTCTGCTGGTTATATTGATTTGTTTGGTGGACATACGCTAAGCCCCTCTAACCAAAAGTATGCGGTTCCTCATCTCTCAGTTATGACGGTGCTGCACCTGCCTAGTCTTATGCCTGTGCTTTGCTTTCCACTTAAATCTCAGTTGCTACAGGTGAAATTATTTTCTCTCATTTATCAACAAATGGAATAGTACTCATCTTAAGACAAGCTTGTATGCTTTAGTGCAGGGCTGCCCAACAGGCAGATCCCCAGATGTTGTAGAACTACAACTCCCATGATGCTTTGTCATTCTAAATGCATTCTAAAGGCATGCAAAGCATCATGCTAGTTGTAGTTCCACAACATCTGGGGATCTACCTGTTGGGCAGCCCTGCTTTAGTGCAACGTATCTCTTCCTGCCTTGCAAATAATTACGCTATCTGTTTAGATTTACTATGGTGCAGCAATATAGGGATAGGTCTAATTCCAGTGGATTCATGTCATTCTTCTAACTCTAACATGCTATACAGTATTCTTATACTTTTGTTCTTCACTTACTATTATCCTATACCATGTTATATGCTCTCCTATATATATATATCCTAAAAGTTTGTGCAGTTTCCTCAGATGTCACACATTTGTTATGCTTATTCTATACTGTTCTTATTGCTGCTGTTGTGGCGCTCTAAGTCTAATTGCCTGCTGATGCACATCAAAAATAGAGAATTTAAAAAGATTAATCACTAAAATGAGAAATTTAAAATGTAACTCAAAATAGCCAAACAGGAAAGATTCTCTTACTCACCTACTCTTTCAATTTTGGCTATTCTGGCCTTAAGTTTGAAATTGACTTTGAATTCTCAAATCCCTGCCAGTCATTAAAAAAGGTAGATAGATATGCTTCCGATGCACATTTATTTCAAGGAGCAAACCAATTTATCGAGCTTGGCTGCTTGAATTTTGGTTGACATTAAATCCACCCAAAATCCAATAAATAAATTATCCAAAGATAGTCTATAATTATCGCTTGTTTCAGGCCAATATAGTTAAATTAAGGCCTTAGTTAGTAGTCCGCCATGTATCTTGATTTATCATTGCTTTTTGTGTGTTGGTAGTTTATTCGTCCCTGTAACCCAGTGGTAGTCAACCCTTTTCTACCTACCGCCCACTAATGCATCTTTCTTGATGGAAAAATCTCCTTACCGCCCACCAGATATCGCGCAAGTGCAGAATATTTTTTAGAAAGGAGGGTGTTTTAAAAAAATAAATGTACGTGCATTTGTCTTTTTATTTCTACTTAATGCATGTTTATAATGTTTTGAACTTTATAAAGTTTAATGAGAAAACAATAAAGTAAATTGAAATTACCTTTACTAGTGATTAATGAGATCCTTGAGGTTAATGCTGCGAGACTAAATATTTTATATCTGGTTCGATTTTCGTAAGGGACAAACAAAGGTCTCCTCTTTCGGTGATATTCAGACGACTTCTCTGTTTGCGCATAATATGATTTCTCATCTGTGCGTCCGCTCATCTCATCTCCTCCTCAATTCCCCTCCCCATCATTTTTATCCCTTTTTTCTATTTTTTAACCTTCCTTATAGCAATGCCCAGTAGGAAGGCTTAGCTAGGTAGCTCACTTACTATAGCCCACTATAACAGACAGGCACACATACATTAATACACACACATACATACAAACAGACAGGCACACATACGTACAGACACACGCACACATACATACATACAGACACACACACACAAAACACATACATACAAACAGACAGGTACACATACATGCAGACAGGTACACATACAAAGACACACATACATACAAAGACATACACACACAACACATACATACAAAGACAACACACACACAAGATATACATACATAGACACACACACACACACACAAGACATACATAGACACACACAAGACATACAGACAGACACACACAAGACATACAAAGACACACACACAATACATCATACAAAGTATCATACACACAAACAAACACACACAAAATATTTTAGTCACCCTCCTGTTTTCTACCTTTTAGGTGCAGGAGGGTGACTTTCCCTGGGGTCCAGTGGTGACTCAGGTGCATTGGAGTCTGAGTTCCTACTCTGACTCCCTTGTCTTCCTCCCGCGCAGTCTGTTTGTTAGCTGGGAGGAGTGACGCGCAGTCACTTCCTCCCAGCGTGTGATGTAATAACAGGGGGCCCGGTCGCACTGTTAAAGCGCCCAGCGCTGACCGGGACCCTCTCAATCCACATCCATCGGGTGGCCCTGACAGCATCGGCCACCCGATGAACCCCTTGCACGGCGGCCCCGGCTGTTTGCCACTCGTGCCGGGGCCGCAAATGGTGACGGCAGTACCCGGTCGCAGGGGTACCGCCGGCTCGCACCCGCCCTCCCGCCCACCTAATCTCTGAAATCCCTACCGCCCACCTTGAATCCTGAAACGCCCACTAGTGGGCGGTAGGGACTGGGTTGACGACCCATGCTGTAACCTGACACAAGATATGCAGTCAAAACTGGCAGTGTTTAACCAGATTTTACTTTACAATCAACTGCAGTTCTGATATCTAAAATGTCTCCGATAAGGGTTAATATACATTGCTTATTATCATTCAATATTTGCTGCATCCAACAGAACAAAAATCAAAATACTGCAAACATACAGAGAAAATTGTGCAGTAAAATAATTAGCATTGCTTATGACGCAAATGAAACATAATCCATCAATAAATCTTGACTTGTTAAAATTAAAGTGACTGGATTTTTCCCTTCAAACTGAGTGGATTCGCACTGTGTGTTGGCAATTAAAAACCCAAGAATTGCATTTAGAAAACATACAATTCATTAAATACACCACAGGGAGAAAGCGTCAATGATTTTATTGCCTGCAGAGTTTGAGTGGCTTCCCTTTTGATTTTATCTTGGTGATGTTCACAAATCTGTTTACTATCTTACTGACTTTAACTTTAAAATTAAACTCCCAAAGCAATTGGTGCTGGTACTGAACAAACCATATATCTGGCCCAGTGCAGCCAGAGTTTTATATTACTGTATAACGTGGCGTGAGCTGAGGATTTCATTGGATTTGAACATGACAGGTTACTGTTTTTTAGCTTTATGCCATTATTTACACTAGTTGTTTGCACAGCATGTAAACCTTTCTGCAGATCTGCATCTCTTGTATTTATCCGCATGTTGCTATTTGCTTTATAAACTCAGACAACTTACAAAATTTAAAAAATATATATTCAATAGTAACAAGTGTTTCAGTTCATTTTAATTTGTATGGGCAATGTGTGTAAGCACTTCTTCACAGAAAGGGTGGTGTGTCCATGGAATAGACTTCCGATGGAGGCGATAAAGACCAAAGATGGAAAGGAATCTGAAAATGCCAAAGTTTATTTCAAACTTTTTTATTGGAAGTATGCAACATAGTAAAGCCCCTGTGTTGCATTTCAGATTATTTCTCTGAATAAATTATTTTTTTTTAGAATGATATACACATGGGATAAATGTCCTAACCGTACTATGACGTTCCTCTGGCCCCCGGGATCACTAAGTGGCACGCGAAGAAGCAGAGCAGACAGAATACGGCTCCCTTGCTGCCTCCAGTGACCGTTTGGCCGTCCGGCAGTGAAAGGATCCCCACTGGAAGTCAGGGAAAGAGAGAATCCATGTGGATATTAAACAATAAATGACTTAAAAGACCACTATAGTTATCCAGACCACAGCATCTCAATGAAGTGGTCTGAGTGCAATAGTCCTAACTAACCCTATAATTTGTTAAATTATTTCTAATTTTTTTAGTGTTAAAGGGACACTATAGTCACCATAGGAATGAAGCAGTTTTTGTGTATAGATCATATCCCTGTAGTCTCACTGCTCAATTTTCTGCCATCTGGGAGTTAAATCACTTCTTTGTCTCTTTATGTAGCCCTGGCCACACCTCCCCTGTCTGTGACAGCCTGCATGAAAACAAAATTTTCAATCAGAAAAATTGCTCTGTTAATCAAATTTTTAATCACATGCAGGAGGCTTCTGCAGGGAGTAGCAAGCTATTAATAGAGCGGATATAAGAAATTCTAAATTAAACAGAATTTGCAATAAAGGCTTTTACATGACTAATAAGCTAATAAGAATTATTTCAATACTATCCTATGCAAAGTATTAGATGTGCATGTGGAGCTCATCAGGACCCCAACGCTCTTCTGTGAGACTGCTACTATACTAACATGCCATCACCAGGGCAGAAGAAGAGACAGCGGCGGGCAGCTCGATACCAGGGGTCTGTTACCAGCTTTGCGACCACTCAGCTAGGCCATGGTCTGAATGGGATTGATTCCCTCTGCACAGCTCTGTGTTGTAATAGAGTATGGGGCTGGAAGGGGGGCATGTTGGGTACCTCATACCATGCAGAGACTACTACTCGGTTGGCATTGGCTATGCTTCTACTCCTGTGTTGGCCAGAGAGCCTGTATATTGCTTCAGTTAATAATGTTGCAGTTCTACTTAATTTTTAGTTCTTGACCCCCAGTGGCACTCTTAACTAAACTTCTTTTTTTTAATTTCTTTATTTTCTTGTGCAAAGGAGAAAACAATCTGCTTGTAGCACCCCGACAGTGTTGACAAGCAATGCATTTACTTATAAGAATAAACAGTGTCATGGCATGAGATAAACACACACATTTTTTATAACCAAAAAATAAACAGGCTGATTTGTAATTCACTTGTATATTATAGAGAAAGCTCGATAGGTATGTTGGGCAGTTTAAGTGAACTGAAGCATGTTGACATTTTCACTACACGATTAATGTGTAGTACGCTATTTCTTCTGGATGGCTTTACACTTTTTGTTAGGTAAGTACTGAATGCCACCTAGATTAGAAGTGTTTATGCGGAGGATGTGTCATCATCCTTGTGGTGCGGGTTTAAGGAGGGTTTTTATGTCTCCCATAACGAAGGGATCGTTGGGGTCGTGCGTGTAGTCTCTGGGATCAATGTAGGTAGTCCCAAAACTTGCAAGAAGGCGGGAGCCTTAGTGATGTTGGAGAGCCGGTGGACTGTTCCTTGGTGCTTCACTATGAGGGACCTTGGAGAGCCCCAGTTGTAAGCCACTCCAGAGTCTTTCAGCTGTTTTGTCACTTCCTTGAGGGATCTGCGCCATTGGAGTGTGGACCTAGTGAGGTCTTGAAAGAATGTGAGTTGAGAGTTCTCAAATGAGTATGGGGTCTTGTCTCAGATTGCTGTCACGAAATGTCCCTTATCTTGAAAGGAGGAGCAGCGCACCACTACATCCCTTGTCACGTTCGGGGGTGCATTAGGGGACTTTGGGAGGGGATATGTTCCTTGTCTGTGGCTGGGGTAGTATAGCCGCAAGCAGCCATCTGAGGTAGTGTGGTAGTTCTTCTAAGGGGATATCATCAGGTATGCCGCGAATCTTGATATGTTGTCATCTGTAGTGGTCTTCCATGGCAGTCATTTGTGTGCTGAGTGCCTGTTGGGAGGTTTGGACTTGCCTTATGGTGTCTTGCATCGCAGACATGTCCTTGCGTATATCCATACTGACTCCACAGGCAGTGGGAACAACTATGGGACGTCGATCTCAGAGACCTGAGGCACGGACCCTGTTGGTTACTGCCTGAACCTCCTCCTTTATCACTGCATTGTCCGATTCCAGCCACTTTCTAATTTCTAGCATGAAGGTTTGAATGTCCTGCTTGGTAGCTTGCTCGGGCCCTCCCTAGGTTGTCAAGGGTGAGCTCTGCCTCAGTGGTGAGCTGTGGTGGTGGGACTGCTAGTTCTCCGGGGCTTGGTGCAGGGGATACCTCCCTGTTCTTTGCGGTCGACATTTTGTGTTGCGGTTGTTGCTGCAGGAGAGTTCCGATGTCTCTTGTGTCGGACACCGTGACTGCTGCAGGTCTCTGAGATCGACGTCCCATAGTTGTTCCCACTGCCTGTGGAGTCAGTGCGGGTGGTTTGGTCTGCCAGAATGGGTCTCCCGCTGAGGAGGTACTCAAGTCTGGGGATGGAGGGTGCGTGGTAGGCCTCAGACCTGCGTTTCTGTCCCTTCCTCCGTGGGAAGTGGAAGAAGGGCATCGGGCTCTGTAGTAGGGTATTTAGGCGAGTTGTCACTGTGTGCCGCCATTTAGTTGCTTATTTTCTCGTTTTTATAGCGATTTTTGTGCTGTTCTTGCTGGAGCCTAATGAGATGGCATCCGCTCTGCTCGTGTGCTGGCTCCGGCCCCAACTAAACTTCTTTTTAACAAACATGGGTTGTACACCTAGTAAATTCAAAATTGTGTCTATCAGTGAGTGAGTTTATGTCTGTCAGTGAGTGTCTGTATGTGTGTCTGTCAGTGAATGAGTGAGTGTATGTTTGTCAGTGAGTGTCTGTGTGTGTGTCTGTCAGTGAGTGTGTGTTTGTGTGTCTGTCAGTGAGTGAGTGTATGTCTGTCAGTAAGTGTATCTGTGTGTGAGTGTGTCTGTGTGTGTGTCTATCAGTGAGTGTATGTCTGTCAGTGAGTTTATGTGTGTGTGTCAGTGAGTGAGTGTATGTGTGCCAGTGAGTGAGTGTATGTCTGTCATTGAGTGTGTGTGTCTGCAAGTGTGTGTCTGTCAGTGAGTGAGTGACATGAAGGGGCTGCAAAATGGATCCTTGCCTAGGGCTGCAGAAATCCTTGCACTGGCCCTGTATACCCATGCTATTGTTGTGTTTAATATATAAAATGAGATATCACTATACATGCCAACATTGTCCACGACTTTTACTAGGTATGATCCTAATTCTGTTCAGATTTCATGTTAGTACAGTCTTCCTGTTTCTAATATGATATCATCTCAATAAAAACTATAATTGAAAAAAAAAATTAAAATAATGAACAGATTTAACAATTTGCCACATTAACACAGTCTGTATTTATCAGTTTTATTTATTAAAGATGTCTTATATAGCACTTAATACATTTTAGAAGTTAAGTATATGGATAAAGACAGGAGTATACATAATTAGGCATAAAAATACAAAGGAATACTGCTAGTTGCCCTTCATCTAACATTGGTACTACTGCTATACAAAGTGCTTTGTAGGACACTGTGTATGCATGCAATCTAAATGGATAATGTGCATTGAGAACCACTTAATCAAATGTAAGTATTAAGATTTTCAGGTGCATCATCGTGTGATACTAATAGTATTGTTAATTAAGACTGGTACCCAGTGGCGTACACACAATCCATGGGGCCCCGGTGCAACATGCTCAACTTCAGATACCTGTTGCAGTACTGGGATAGGTCTTCACAGTTACTGAAAATATTATTTTCATTATTCTTCAGACAGGATTTACAGCAGTGCAGAGCGTGTGGCCCATGCAAAGAAATGTGATAACTTGTTTCATGATATTGCCTTTCTGGTTTTGCCTCCCAGTGATTAATGTAGCTGACTCTGCCCTGTACCGAGCCAGGCAGTTGTTTTGTTGATGTGCAGTTGCAACTAATTTAGGTTAAACAGAGCCTTGCCATGATGCAGCTTGAAATAACCTGCTTCACAGAGATTTTGGACCTAGGCTTGCGTAAACATCGAGACTGTTGTGTTGGTCAAATACATTAGTCTTCGTTGATATGAATGACTAGAGATTATCAAGCAATGAATAGGGTTGATCGCTTTCTTTTTGAATAACTGCTATTATTATGTTTTTAATTTTACCATTACATATTTCATTAAGGGTTTTTTTTCCTACCCGGTTGTCCTGTAAGCTCTTTAAACCATAGGTCCTTCTGTAATATAAATGCTTATCAAAACAAAATAGCAAATATAGGATTCCTGAAAGAAAACAGAAATATTAGTGGATAATTGGACTTATCAGTCATATGACATATTTTGCCATTAAAGTGTCTCTGTCTCTTTTTCTCCTCACCGTCCCCCAGTATTCCTTTGGGTCTCGCTAGCCCCTTAACCTCTAACGGCTTGTGCGTGATCCTGGTACCTGTGCTACTGAGCTTAAATCCTGACAGTCCTGATGATTATTTATTCACAGCAACACTATCTTGTTTTTTTCCAATATGGTGTTCTCTTTGAGTTTCCACCTCTGCCCTTCTTGGGGTGTGCACTTTGATCCACAGGAGGCTTGCTTTGCATTGTGTTGACTCTTGGGATGCAGTGAGAGTGAACACAGAGAAAAGGTGATGCAATACCTGGAACGAGCATGAAGTGGACAGCCCATTACAAATGTGACAAAGGACGGGAGCTTGGCTAAATCAACACCTATTTTTGTCAACCTGCAGATTCTATATAAGGATAAAAGGTCCCTATTTTTTCTTACGTATATGTTTTCTAATAATCAGCATCTTGCAAAAATAAAAAACAGGGGGATAAATTTCTTAACACAAAAAAAGCTACAGAGGCACTTGAAGGAAAAAGGCAATATGCAATGCAAAAGCATGATTGAACACTTTGCATATGCTTATAGTAGCATCACACATACCAGAAATAAAACAAACAAAAAGTTCAAACGCGTTTGGTTGTTCTAAATCTACACAGACTAGTGACTTAGTTGAAATGTTATACTCACCTCCCCCCCCCCGAAGAAAAGAAAAATCAATGGAGATTTCAGTGGATTTTCCTCTCTCTCTGCATTTTTTGCTGGGCACAAGCAGACGTCTCCTTTTCTTTAATGTGAAGAGCCGGTCTCAAAGCAGAATTTAATTACACAAAGAATGTTTGATAATCTCCAAAGCTTTTAGAGTCAAATGATAAAATGTCGAACCAAATTAAATTTTATTGCTGAAGTTAACATGTTTTAATTATATTTCTCATCAGTAGTTTTGAGAGTGAATTGAGCAGTTAATGTTTTTGTTCTGTTTAGAAGTAAATAACAATGAAGGGGTCTGGCCCTTTGATTATTATTATTTTTTTTTGCAAGCTTTTTAGATTTTTATTCCCACAATTTTACTTTAAAATTAAAAACAAGACCGTGGTGTATGTTTTTAAACTAGAATGCAGCGTTCTGTATCAAACTTGTCTTAATTGTTTAGTATTCACTATAAGTTTGGTTGGCACGCTGATAGATTAAATTTTGATATTAATAGAATGTAACCATGCCAGATTTGCATGACAGCGAACTTTTAATTTATATGAATACGTGCAGTGTTTGGCACAAAATGCATAAGGTGTTATTTTTGTATTTATTTTTTTTTGCTGCTGTTGCCAAAAAAACAAACTAGTGATTTATCATAAGGGTATGTAGGGGGATACGCAGAACAAAAATTTGTGCTTTGCTAAAGGTTTTCTTCTGAATGTTCCATTTCAGGATTTTGTGCATTTGTTTTTGTATTTTGTTCTGTGTGCAGACACTCAGTGACAGCTTGATAAACTCTGAGACTGCGTGCCACCCAGAAATATTACCGATAACTAATACGGTTTTGCATAAAATGTTTCCTATGTGACTTCATGGCCGTAACCTTTACATGTCCCAAATAAAAGATTAGCCACTAAACATAGCTGTCTAAGTCCTGAATTCTTTAAAAAAATCTAAATGTTGGCATTACCTAAGCCATTGCAAATCACCAACACTCCTGATACTATTGTCAAGAACGGATCTTTTTTATTTGCTTATACCATGTGCTATCATAACTATATTTTACTGCCTCTTTTTATTGATCTCATTTTACTTATGTATCTTATTTGTACTATCTCTGTCTATTTTTTTAGCATACAGTTTTTACTTGAATTTGTGACCTATTTGGAGCTACCTGGTTCTCTAGTTTTGTCTAAATTTTTAGTTTGGCTACTCTGTCCTTAAATGTGAAATCTCCTTTGAATTCAATTTTGAATTCTCACTTTTGTAAGTTACCCCAAAAGAAAACATTAAGCTCCCACAGGTAAATGATCCACAGTCATTCAAACACAGACCTGTCAGACACGTCCCAATATTTCTAATGGACAAAGAGGAAGACTTTAATTTTAGGGATGTGACAAGGGCTGTTGTGTGACATTTTAGGTGACAAGCTATTAAAAAGATTATGGACCTAAAGTGTAAGTTAGAACAAGAATAATGTTCCTTATTTACAAAGACTTATTTGTAGACACATGTATCGTAGTTTAAAGACATGTTACTGTAAGTATTATTGCTGTGGAGTTCTGTTATACACTCAGACACATCAACTATATGGAGCTCCTAGAAAAGAGGGGCATTAGGATAGAAAAGAGGGACAGAGGGAGATGGGCCCAAAATAGGGACTAAGTAATGACAATTGTGAGATATGCTATCCTATAGATCAATACTATACCACACTACAAAGGGGAATGATATATGCTAATCCAATGTTTAACCTGATGGTCTCAGTGACAAAAACAAGTCTGAAAGCAATCATAATCATATTTTAAATATTTAGTTGAACATACACAACAGTTGTGGTTTTTTGGGGGTTTTTTTTGCCCGTTATGTGTAGGTTGCTACAATGTTTGTGATCGCACGAGGCTAACACAAGAATAAAGTGCAAATGTAGAATCAAAATGAGGGAACTAAGGAATGTGAAACATCAAGACTCGAAGGGGGTGTGGACACTTGCAGTCAATTTGTGGTCATGAGGCTGGACAGGTAATGGTCTGGGCTGGCATTGTATAATAACAACTAGGCAGACAAGCCAGGGTTCAAGAAGACAGAGGACAAGTAAAAAAGGAGTTGCAACAGGTTGTCGGTACAGAAGGAATGGTAAAGTTAAGCTGGAACAGAGTGAGAATCTGTGGGTCCAAGGAAGGCTGGAGCACAGGTTCAGGAAAAGAGCGTAGATGGAGGACTCGTACAAGCTCAGCATTGTGTTCAGATGGTAAGGTCTCATGCACAAAGGCTGCTGAGCGCTGGGTGGGAACACCTGAATAGGGACAGCCCCATCTCTAAAATGGTAGAAATCTGCTCCTTTTGAGATATAGACAGATGGGAAATCTGAGAACTTCATACCACTCTCCAATCACAGGGGAAAAAATGGTTTACCTGGTGTTCCAATAATCACCCTCCAATCTCCCCAACTCTGGGTACAGCTCAGCAGTTTCCCAGGGATGGGATCACATTTGCTTTGCGCAACACATTAAGATGAACAGGATAATGATTTCACAACAGGCTATCTATTAAAAAAAAAAAACCAACTAATAATCATAGCATTACTTTGTAATGTTAGTAGAACAGCAAATGAGATGTGCCAGGAGATAAAAAAAATAAAATAAGAACAAATAGTCAAAATAGGATTATAAGAAAATAAAATGGTAACGCAAATGTCAACAGTGGATATGCCTATATTTTAAATATATATATCATTATATTGTTACATATGGTTTTTTCAGTATTATTATACTTTTGCGTTTACAGACATTACTACATATGTGTCTGTTTGTATTTGTAGAACTCGCAACATAAATGTTTTATCGAACTGTAAAAATATATATTCCCTACTTTATATAACATGACTAGGCTGTTACTATTTCTTTTTATTTTATGACAGGTTTGTTAGATCATTTCAGACATGGAATAAAATGTAATTCCCCAATGCATTTGAAAGAAAAGCAGTCTTTTATTTTGTAGATTAAATCTAAAGACATTGCTTTACTTGTATTGTAAGATTACAGTCAAACAAATGTCTTGAAACGAACCTTTGGAAATCACAGTGTTAAGGAGACCAAATTAATGTAGGAGGAAAACAAGCTTAACAAACTTGAAATGTGTATCTCCTTTTTTTTTTTTTTTTATTAAAGTCAGAACATGTGTATAGTTTTTGTTTGATAAAGCAATTGATTAAGGCAGACAATTAAAGCAATTTGTCCTGCATGTAAATAGTAGATGTCAGGAGAATGCCTGCTGCGAGTTTGTGTATTAAATAATCTTTTCCGAATACATCAGAAAGACTTCTACAAAAACCTACAAGAACGTGTTCTAAACACTGTTTTCTACACTAAGGGCTTGCTTGTCAAGTTGGAAAAAATGCTAATCTTGCCTCCTTGAGCAGCTGGGTTTGTGCAGTAGTCTTTTCATTTTTTTCAGGGGTTAATTAGCCCTCTTTTAAACTGTGGCCTATTTAGCTGTAGATCCAGCATGATTCAGCCAGGGCTGGCTGTACAAAAGCGGAACTATTAACAGGCGGGTGTGTCCAACTGCTTAATTAGCCAGAATAAAAAGGTCCTTTGTCGTACAAGCATCTGTTGTTCGTGACACACCTGACAACCGCATTAGGCAAGGATGACTAGATTGAAATTTTGCGCATATTTCCAACAATACCAAGCCGTTCATTTGCATACGGGTTGCTTCAGTGACAGTCTGCAAGTTTAGTTAGCTTATCAGAACAAATTAGTGCAACTGATAAACAAAGATTGCACAGGGAATGTAAATGACTCATGAAACCTAAAAATGAAGGGGTTTCTATTTGCACATCTCTCCTGTCATTTTCATGGGATTTTGTGGAAAACAAAAAAGAAAAGAAACACAAAAAAAACAACAACTTGATTTCTAATCGCAGTTTCAGTGCGGTTGGAAGACTGGCAGGTTGGAAATCTGGGAATTCGACCAGAATGCTTTTTAATATGTTTAAACTTACGCATTAGCTCTAAACGATTTGCTGTTGAAAACTGGCAAAGGGGTTACACTCCCCAAACATGCTTTAGCATTTTAATTGATCCTCTGTCATGTCTGACTGCGGAATTGATCACATATAAAGATCACCTAGGAGAAGAATATATCAAAGAGGATGACAGCGTTTCACAAAGAAGCAACGTGACTTTGTCAGGCTTAGCATGATGGGATCAGGGTTAGAGGTTTTCTTGTTAAATCCTCTGCAGAAAAACAGTTTGTTGTGCCAGTGGAAACTTCACCTTAAATGCCACCTTCATCTGAGACTGGGCACTTTCTGCTGCTGGGGTATAGCCAGATTGGACATAAATGTATTTTAAGCACTATGCACAGACTGTGGTGTAAAAGTCTGAATCATATATGGAATGAACAGGGTAGTATTTACAGAGAAATCGTTAGGCACAGTATCAGAGCTAAGAACTCATATGTTAAATCAGGGGTACCCAAATGGTGGAGTAAGTACTGGAGCTGACAAGACATGCTGCTAGTAATCTATGACTTATAGCTTACTAAAAGCTTATTCTTGCTGAAGTATCGACCACTATTGCTATATTATCTGATACCTACTGTGGCAAAGATGTCTCTGCCACGTGTTCCTGGAGGAGCCTGCTGGCTAGCCTCCTGCCCAAGGACTATGGACCATGTAAAAAGATCTGTAAAAAGTCTCTGTTCGTATGGATTCCCTGTACTGTCCGGGAACTGAACAGATCCACGAACTAAAGACCACCCGGGAGCTTGTTAAACCCTATTGACACCCTGTAATGATTCTCACCGTAGTGTTTTAATTGTTCGTCTGGGTGGATGCCATTCCAATGCACGAACACGTGGTGGTGGCCATCTTGTTTGCACGAACGCAAACAGCGGTGTTTGGTCGTCGAGTGCATGGAACTAAAATCGGACATTTGACCTTGCGAACACCGCTGAACTTCCAGCATCGCTTACGTTCGGTTCGTTACATCGTGGAAGAACACTGTTCAGTGGAATTGTTCGAATGAATCGGGTGAACTAGCTCCATGTTACAACTATGGACTATGGTCGTTAGTTTGTTAGTTTTTATACTCCTGAAGTTGACCGAGCGCTACCACTTTTGCTATGGAACTATTTTGGGCAGGAGCCTCGTGTGCAATTGTTCAAAAGTTGACGTCCATGGAAAACCCGAACCCCTGAACCAATCTGATGGATTTTTTGATATGTTGGTCACTCAGATCGGGGCTATCCAAAGATGTGACTCTTGTAGGGTTTCCATGGATATTCGGGGTACCTTTGGGGTGTTTGTAAATTGTCTTTTTCTGTACCTGGAGATAATTGAGTTTGTACAGTTCCTGACTCAATTATCTATCAGGCTCAGTAGAGGAGTTTACTATTTGTATAAATTCTGTGACTGTGCTACTATTAAACAGGTGACTTCCCAGCATTAAGCCTCGGCTCAGAATTTCATTTTCACTGTTTGAGCACCTTTTCACATTTGTCTCTCGTCATTTTTTACCTGTTCCACAAGTAACAAGATCTATTCTTGTTTTTTTTAGAACTTAATTAAGAGTCCAAAAGTTCTCTGGAAGGTTGCCAGTTTTGTATCTCATCAATTGTATGCAGGACCACTTGAGCTTGTCTGTAGAGCATGGCTACTGAGCCCCTTCACATTTGTAAAGGCCTAATGCAGCTGCCTAGACTCCTTGTAAATCAGTTGTAATTGAAAGTCTTTGTTATTTGCGCTGAGATTTTACAACATATGCAATGCTTCTCACCGCTTCACTGGATCTCTGCTTCGTTTGCTGTTAACAATGCAAGCTGGTTTCAGTCTAATACCTTTTTTACTATGTAATTTGTACTTGCTATAAAATGATCATGAAATAACAGTCCTAGTGCTTTTTTTAAAGTTTCTTAGTCTGTCAGGTGTAACTCATGGACTATAATTTGCACAGCTTTGAGTAAGGATTTTGTTATGGTGTGGCCACTTTCGTGCAACACATGATTCTATTGGTTAATTCTTGTTATGAAGTTCATACTTCTAAAAAGGTGGGCATTCCATATATAGAAAATATTATGGAACACAATAAATGGTAGCCATCTTGTCTAGTTTTAAAGTAAATCCCCCAGCACCTTAACTACTATAGTGTTTTGTAGTGGTCATGGTGCCAGATGCAAGTAGTTAAACCATTTGCTAACTGTTTGACTTATTCCTGTGGGCTGCCGGGCATCACTCCCTGACACACCTGTTAGGAGCTTCCATTAGCCCTCCTTAGGTAAGCCCTGCAGTGCAGTGCCAGCTGATTGGATGAGAGTTTCTGACCGTAGCAGAGGGTGAGAGCTGCTCACTCTCAGCCAATTATATTAAGCCCGCAAAACTTGTGACAGAAGCAAAGGCTGCAGACCCCAATTAAGAAGTCAAGCCATTAGCAAATCGTTTCAGTACTTACATTGGTGGGACACAGAGTCCCTCCTGGCATTATAACCAATACAGTGCGCTGTAGTGGTTATGGTGCTTAGTGTTCCATTAAAACAAAAAAAATGGATGAACTGAGAGATCATGAAAAAAAATTTGTGTTAATGGATGCTTTCCTAAAATACAAGCACCTTTCTCCTTTTTTTTTGGATGCAAAGAACATAAAATAGCTGAACTCAATAAACTTCTTTTGAAAATGTAATATATTTGATGACCTCTCATTTTAATTTATTTCTTTAGAAATTGTTTTACCAGAAAGAATGCACCTCATTTTCTCTTCTTTCAAGTATTCTCTAAGATGCACAAATAATTCCTATATTTTAGACCAGCATTTTAGAGAGCAGGTAATGAGTGCTGATCAATGTGTAATCACAGCTGGATATCTATTAGTATCTTGGTGTGTTTTTTTGACCAGGCAAAATCCAGTTAGAATTCATATGCTAATCAGAGACTAGAAAATGCATGTATAAACATATACTAATGGCAGCACCAAGGCCGGACTGGGGAACAAATTCAGTCCGGGCATTTTCTAATCACAGCGGCCCACTGAGAAGGGGGCAGGGCCAGATAGGGAGTGTTTTGTCATCAATAATGACAAGCACACCCTATCTCAAAGTTAGCAGGTTGGTTCAATGCGAAGACCATGCGCAGAGCTCTTCTGAAGAGCTCTAGCATGAGGAAAAAAAAAACCCTGTGTATGTTCTGCACAGCACAAGCAAATACAATAACATGCTTGCACTGTGTTTGCTTGAAACTTGTCTCTGGTGTCTTTATAAATGGGATACCAGGAGACAAAAATGACAGGAAAGAGTATTGTGCATGTGTTTGGAGCCTGCTTGTGTAATGTATATGTGTCTAGGTGCAGTAGAGAGTGTGAGTGTGTGTATAGGGGATGTAGAGTGTGTGTGCATACGGGCTGTAGAGAGCGTGTTTTTGGGGAATGCAATATGTATTTGCTTACAAGGAATCTAGTGTATGCATAGGGGACCCAGAGTGTGTATGTCAGAAATGCAGTGTTTGTGTAGGGGATCTAGTGTGTCTTTGAAGAACCCAGAGTGTGTGTGTGTGTGTACAGGATTCAGAGTGTATATAGGGATCTAGTGTGTGTATGTGTATAGATGATCCAGAGTTGGGTAAGGGATCTAGTCTATGTCTGGAATGCAATGTGTTTAGGGGTGCAGTATATGTGTGAGGAGTGCGCCGTGTGTGAGAGGGGTGCTGTGTGTGAGTATGAAGGGTGGTGTGTGTGTGTGTGTGTGTGTGAAAGGGGTGCAGTGTGTATGAGGATGCAGTGTGTGTGTGTCAGAGGATGCTGTGTGTGTGTATGTGTGTGTGTGAGAGAGAGGATGCTGTGCGTGTGTGAGGATGCTGTGTGTGTGTGTGAGAAAGAGACTACTGTGTGTGTTTGGAGGGATTCAGTGTTGGGGGAGCCAGGTTAATGTCATAATGTATGTATTTAAAAAAACAAGCATTGTATCCCCTTCCCTTCTTACCTTATGCCTGGGAGGGAAGACCGTGCAACCATCCCTGGTAGTCCTAGTGGTGAGTGAACTTGAGCCGAGAAGAGCCTGGCAGAGCTGCAAGGACTCCTCCGGGTCCTCTCCTGTCTCCCTACCTCCCCAGCTGGCGGCCGCAATACACTGCATGTGGGGCCGGTGAGGGAGATCTTTGACCTCCCCTGCCAGCCTCAGCCCATGGCCATCGCGGCCAGATGGCCAGTCCGGGCCTGGGCAGCACACTTGTCTCATATAACATACACCTATTTCAGAGCTAGAAAAGTAATCAAACCCTGTATCTATTATACATTGTTTCACTGTAACCCACAGGATGCATTTATAAAAAAAATACACACCTTTTTCTAATTTCTTACTTTCATCTGTCAACCAAATCCATACCCCCAACTTCGGCGTCTTGTGGAGTGGGATGCTGGTGCGTTGGGAAAAAGAAGGTAGACCAGTGATGCGAATGACATCACTAGCACTGCTCAAAGTGGCAGACCTGCCTTAAAAGGGGACTGATGAATTGAAAGGTTAGTCTAGCGGGAATGCACTCACGCAGGCCGACCAAGTCCCAATAAAGTATAGACTATGCAAACAGCGCTGTTTCAGCACAATGAATTTGACGCAAACATGTCTATAATTTATTGGGACAGTTCGCTGCTGTCCCCCAGCTCTCACTTGTCAATTCCTTTCTTTCCATTCTTACTAGCAGGCAGTAGCTCCTGGGACAGAGATAAAGGTGGATGTAGTAAGTGTAGGAGAAAGGGAATATGGCACACTGTTGAGAGACCTAAGAGCATTTGCACAGTGGGCAAAGTCAGCTTTTTGTTGACTATTTTAATGTCATCCAGTCCCCACTAATTCTGTTCTCCTGCACTTCCCATACATGATTTCCTTTGTACTACATTTTTTTTTTCAATCAGTGAGTTTATTCCTGTATATTTTCCTATTTAGGTTAAAGCTATTTTCCTAACAGGACTAGCTGCCTCTCTCACCGTTCCACCCCTTTCCCTCCCCCTCTCCCCACCCCCATTCTGTTTTGTTTTCCTCTCTTGCTTTTCTTTTTCTTTTGCACTGCTCTACAATTTTTTACTTATTTCAGGAATATTTGGTGTGGAGCTTCACCTCCATTAGCCCCTATGTTAATCCAGTCTTGTTGTTGAGCAAAGTGCTTTAATGGATTATACAGGGAGGTAGACTTGTGATAGCACACCTTCATAATCTTTAACTGGTTTTATCCTTTGTTGCACTGCACAATCTGGTTTTCTCACCTTGGTTTTAGGGTAGAGTGTGAATGACAACTTAGGTCAGCCACAATTTAAGACTCTCATGGGAGTGTGTGTTCTCAGCTAGTATCATATAGATGTGAGAAACACGGTGATACTTAACAAAGTATTTTAAAGCAAAATTGGCTCCTAAAATATATCTTTTTATTAATTAAAATACTTAACACACGTTTTTTCTTTCAATCATAGAAACTACAATGCAGACGTCCGAGACTGTGTCGGACACAGGTTCAACAGTGACTTTGCAGACATCAGTAGCTGGCCAGGCAGCAGTGCCCACCCAAGTTGTACAGCAAGTACCAGTGCAGCAACAGGTGAGTGCAAAGGTGTACTGTAAGAATTAGTGTAGGAATGTGCACCCTCTAATGGCCACATTAGGGAGCTACATGAATCAGCCTCATATTAGTTAATTCTATTTTAATAATTATTTTTTATTGTATTATAGGCCCCATTTAACTTTCAATTTAAATTCTCATGCCAAACATGTCTTGGTGTAATTTTGTAAAAGGTAACATTTTAGCAATGCAAGATTGCCAGCACATTTTATAAATGAAAAGTTAGTTAATTTACTGACCTCCTTAATCTATATCTCATACCTTATACGTTAACAAATATGAAGAAAAAGAGTAGCTTTGTAGGAAGGTGTATTGCCACCTAAAGGTGTAGATAATTTATTATTTATATAATTATTTAAAGTCAATTCCATCCTGAGGTTTCCCTTTCAAGGAACACTCCGAGCACCATAACCACTACAGCTGGCTGTAGTTCTCATGGTACCAGGAGTGCCCTGGCCTTCTCCCACATTAAGGTGTCAAACTATTCTACAATTTACCTGGATACACTGGGAGCCTGCAGCAACATCTCCTGTAGTCAGTCTTCTCCAGCAGTAGAAGCCAGATGTGTCAGTAGAATAAAGCTCAGCTGACACGTGGTCGCGCTCACTCAACCAGTGCTCTCAGCCAATGAGCTTGGTTTGCATGACCCTGCTTCTGGAGAAGAGTAGGTGCAGAGGATGCTCCTGTGGGCCCCCAGGAGTACCAGAGTAAATTGCCAACTTGTAGGTTTGACATCCGTGGGACGCCGCTTGGCACTCCAGGCACCATAACTGCTACAACAGGCTGTAATTGTTATGGTGCTTCCCCTTGTCATGTTGATAACTGGTGTTTTCTGAAGCTGTTTACCCATCATCAATACCGTTTAGTTGCTTTATGTAACAAACGCTGACTAGGTGGCATTTACAAAGTGTTTAAATCAGAGATATACAAAACATGTGCATATAGCCAATATTGTTGGCAAAGATACTGCAAAGTAATGTCACGTAATAAATCGTTTACTGTGCTGTCACCATGGACAAAGAATGCTGCTTATCATTGCCCAGAAATCCAATAGCGTGACATTTCCTTATGTCTGGGAAGCTACTGATAGATGCGTATGAACTATAACAGCCCTTTCGGTGCTCTAATCAATTTTGTTTCATCACAGAGATCTGGAATATTATTTTAGGTTATTTTTCTTTTCTTTTTTAGCCTCTGACAGGTTTTTCTCAGATAAAGCTGGTTGTCATTTGCTATTATTGACATTCATTTTCAGGGATTTTTATGCACAGCTTGTGCTCTCAAGAACTGAACTCCCTACCTTGCTCCCCCGTGGTGCAAACATTATGGTTAAATTATCAGGCAAATAACATTACAAGTGACCTATGACACACTCTTGGATCATATATCATTTTTGCCTGCTTGACTGCAGTGTGTGTTGTAGGAAATGAAACATTGAGTTCCAGTTAGTTTCTCTCTACCAGTCATGTTGTCTTCGTGTTAACTGTATGAATGCAGTTACAGTGGTAAAAAGGATTCCTTGATGATTTAGGGCTGATACAGAAAAATATCAGTAGATTTCCTTTTTAGTACAGGCTAGTCAGCAATAATACTCATAGTAATGTGTCTTTCAGCTACAAACAGGGATCAACATAGGGGCTAATGGAGCTGCAGCTCCAGGCCCAGGCCCAGGCCCTGGCTCAGGCCCATGGAATAGGCCCATTAAAAAAAAAAAAAAAATTTTTTTACACACTACTCTTTGCCACCTGACTGATATTTTACTGGCACAGCCAGTATTTGAGGCTGCCTGGCCTTACTGGTATTGCAGTAATACTGGCAATACAAATGCAGGTATTTTATATAGTATTCAGTATAGACGGAGATTATGCTTCAATACTAGCACCGGCCAGTAGGGGTCACTTTGTGTGGAGAGAGGCAGGGATAGGAAGTTACAGCATATCCTTCCCTGCCTCTCTCAACTACTCACTGATCTGTGGGGGAGCTACACAGCACAGAGAGGCCAGACAACAGTTCTACAGCTCAGGTAAGTGAGGGATGGGGGAAAAGGCAGCAGGGAGCCATGGGGACACTGAGACACATGGGGACGCTGAGACACATGGGGATGCTGTGAGACATAGGGACATTGGGAGACACTGAGATATTGGGACACGGAGACACTAGGGACACAGTGTCTCCATGTCTCCCAGTGTCCCCATGTCCCCCAGCCAGTGTCCCTAGTGGCTCAGTGTCCCCATGGCTCCCAGTTTCCCTTAGTCTCCCAGTGTCTGTGTCCCCATGTCTCTCAGTGTCCCTAGTGACTCAGAGTTCCCATGTCTCCCAGTGTCCCCATGTCTCCCAGCCAGTGTCCTCAGTGTCCCCATGTCTTTCAGTGTCCCCAAGTCTCCCAGTGTCTGTGTCCCTATGTCAATCAGTGTCCCCATGTCTTCCAGTGTCCCCAAATGTATGTGTCCCCATGTCTCCCAGTGTCCTCATGTCTATGTCCACAAGTGTCCCCAAGTATTTG